AAAAAAAAAAAAAAAAAACTAAACTCATTTGATGTATATACTGAGCTTACTTAGCTACGAATCTTCTGCATAATGAAACCCCAAGTATGCTTTCACCAACCTTCAAAAGCAGCACCATCTACACTCAGCCAAGTCATAATTAAGCCCTACTTCCCCTCCCTCCGACCCGATTGCAGGAGCGTTGAAGGGGAGTTCACCGACGACCTCTTGTCTTCCCGCCGGAAGTCCGAAGGCAAACGAATGCGTGTATCAAAAACAAAGCAGCATGAACGTGCTCTTACCTTTGGGGTTTCTGGTATAGCGAGGAAGGCTTTAGCATTCTATTGCTAGCCCCCAAGCTACTGTTATCTTGCTCCTGTGTTGGCTTGTAGAATTATGATGAGTATTGCCGTTAATATCATAATTGCCGTAGCTACTGACTGCACACCCCCAGTCATTCCGGACACACAAGAACCCGAGCTCAAAGGACGAGTGGAATAGGAGGGTTTTTGGGTGGGGGTATATTCTACTATACGTATAAAAAGGGACCCGAAGGAATGGTACTGGTGAATTTTCCGACATTGTAGTATCCCTAAGGGTCCAAGTACCTANNNGAAACCTAAGTACCTGATGATTGGGTCCTTTGGACCTTTAGGGTATTGATATTTATCAGCACACTGGAAGTAAGTTTGGGGCTCAGGCATTTAAGGTGCTTTGCGAGATGTTCTTCCAACTATGAGCGCGGTATGAGGACTTACGCTGTAACGCTGGCGTTACCTGAAATATGTGAGTTGCGGTCTTTCGGGTTCACGGGCTTAGGGTTACTTTTGCCCCATCTAGATTTGGGAGATGCGAAAATATGGCGTTCCGCAATTGCCCGACACCTATTAAAATGTCCCTAGTCGCAGGATCCTGATACTACCAGGAGCCTTAAATGGTCAGAAACTCTGCGGTACATTCAGATTGGGTTTAACACAGGGGCCTTAAGAACTAGAATATTGCTTCGGGGAACAGTACAGTATAGTTATAATCAGCAACCCCAAAGCTACCAAACATCGCTGGTTACTCAGGCATCTACATTATGGCCCTATATGGCTTATAGAGATTCAGGACTAAGGCAAAACACGGTACAGAACCCTAAACGTCTAGGTTTCTTAGTGTCCAGGTAAAGCCCACAACCCTAAACCGATGGGGTTTTGGACCTGAGGCTCTGCAAACCCTAAACCCTAAATCCTGAACCCCCGAAACCCTAAACCATAAACCTTTAAACCCTAAACCCAGAAACCTTAAACCCTAAACCTTAAACCTTAAACCCTAAACCCTAAACCTTAAACCCTTAAACCCTAAACCCGCTAAGCCCAAAGGCCTTCGGACTTTGTCGGGGAAGGCTGGGCCTGCAAAGGCCCTGGTCTTGCAGCAAACGGACTGCGGCCTCCGATAGCAATTCCTGGGTCTTAAGGCTTTAGGGTTTAGGGCTTAGGGTTTAGGGTTTAGGGCGCTTTTAGGGTTCTAAAGTTTAGTGAGTAGGGTTGAGGGTTAGGGGTTTCGGGGTTTTTAGGGAGTAGGGTTCTACAGTCTAGTGTTTAGGCGTTTAGGATTTAGTTTAGGATTTAGGGGTTTAGGGTTCTATAGTTTGGTGTTTAGGGGTTTAGGGTTTAGGGGTTTAGGGTTTAGGCCTAAACCCTACACCCTAAACCCTAAACCCTAAACCCTTTAGTGTTTAGGGCTTAGTGTACCAAGGGCCTCGGCCCATCGGGCTGGGCCTTGGGGGGCAGGTGGGCTTCAGGTGCGGCGGGTTCAGGGTTTAGGGTTTAGGGTTTAGGGTTTAGGGTTTAGGGTTTAGGGTCTATAGGGTTTAGGGTTAAATCACAGTCTTTGTATTCCTGTTACGCCGTGGCTAGGTTTATTGAATAAGTCAACATTACCCAAGGGGTCCATGTACACTACCATTATGGAAATGGGTCCCAAAAGACCATCCTTAAACATGGCTTTTAGGACCTATATTCGTAATAAATAGCATTATCTATGGACCCTATAGGTGACCCGAAGACCTAAACATGCCCAAACCATCCTAGTAACCCAAGACCTAAAGCTTCAATCCTAAACCCTACGCTAAACCGACCCGCTGTTTCGTTCCGAGGGCCTACCCGTGCCTGCTGGCCCTAAGCCCTAGACCGAAAAGTCCAAGGCCCTAAACCCTACTGTAAACCCTAAACCCCAAACCCTAATCAAAGTCTGACGGACCCAGGCCCTTTCTCCGAGACTGTCCAATGCGAGGCCGCACCTGACTTCTGTTCTACATTGGCATCTTGACCTCGGGTTTAGGGTTTAGGAGCTATGGTTTAGGAGTTTGGGGCTCTGGGGGTTCAGAGTTTAGGGTTTGGGGGGTTTAGAGTTTAAGGGTTTGGGGAGTTCGGGTTTGGGGTTTAGGGTTTAGGGTTTAGGGTTTAGGGTTTAGGGTTTAGGGTTTAGGGGTTTAAGGATTCAGGATGCGTGCCTGATTGATGGTTCGCGGCTTCAGGGTTACCTGAGTATTATGTTTTTCTGGGGTACATGCTGTTGATGATATAAATCTTGCATTACCTTAAGAACCCTCAATTACGATAATTTTTGTATACTATATTCCTTATTATGGATAATGCAAAACGGTAATGCATGGTCTAGGGTTTGGGGCTTTTTGCGGTTCTGGATTTGAGTTCTCCCTCGAAAGGACCGCTATGTAGAACAAGTCCCAGCTGCTTTTGCACATTGAAAGAACCCGAAGGACCAATCGAGCCAGCAGAGCAGCTAAGAGGACGATCCCCTTAAACCCTAAGCCCTGAATCCTCAACCCTATGATCTTCACACATACGACGACCCAAACCCCGAATCCGAAAATCTTCAGCCTCGGGCTTGCCCCCTGCATGGCATGGCCCAACACCGCAAATAAAACTGTTAGGGTATCGAAATCACACAAAGATCATCCACCAAATGTGTCGATTGCAGCTTCTTGAGGCTCCTAGAAGGCCATGAAGTCGCAAGGCCCAACCCTAAACCCTGAACCTTTTAGCATTTAAGTTTTCCTAACTCAGCAAGATTTTCCTAAAGCCAAGGCATGACTTGGGTGAGGGTAGCAAGCACCGATGCCATAATGGTAGTATACAGCAGAAGCCCGCAAATTGGAAACCCAATAGCCTCAAGGTTTAAGAGTAATGCACAGGGAATCCCGGCACCAATTGTCCTTCATCCGGTTTCCAACTTTTTGGGATTTACAAAGTATGGACCTAAACCCTAAACCCTAAACCCCACCATCCGGGTAGGCCCGAAGCTTAAGATCGAACTGCTGGCTTGTTTGATCCTTAAGAAAGGAGCTGGCCAACTAAATCGCGCACTGGCAGCCAGCAGGATTTGACAAAAACTTCTCTGTTCCGAACCATCGATTGAGGCCTCAGTATTTAGAAGCTCAGGGGAAAGCTACTGTATAGGCATGCAGGTAAGCTTAGTGGACAACTACAACATAGTCATGTAGGGGTTAAATATGAAAGGACAAAGCTTGACAAAATACATTCAGACCTCTATTACAGAGCTTCAGGGTTGTTTTAGGGTTTTGGCCTTATGGGATGGGCAACTCGATGGGGCCTTGCTAGGGTTTAGGGTTTAGGTTATAAGGCTTGTGGATTTTGGATTGCAGCATGTAGGTCACTGGCTGCTTTCGGATGCGGCGTTTCAAGCTGAAGGGTCTGACGGTGCGGGTCTTGGGCTGCAAGGGGGCAGGATTCTCTGACGCTTTGGAAGGCTTCTACAACGGGCTTTACGGGATCTATTCGGGTTTCACGGGGTGCGGTCGTTCAGGATAAGCCTACTAGTGGAGCCAGCACAATACCTTCGACGTGAAAGGCGCCAGGAGACAAGCTCTATGCCCTATGCATGTGTACCCATCTAAACAGAGATGGATAGAGAGATAAACGGACGGATGGATAGACAGTTGTGATGCCGGGGGGATAGACAGATAAACGGATGGATGGATAGACAGTCGTAAAGCCGGGGGATGTCGCGCTATGCCAAGAACCTCTAGTTATTCATTGTAATAAAAAAACAGAGCATGCGTGGAGGTGTTTGCAAAGGCTACGGGTAAGCTGAATGACCGCCAATGCGGTAACTAGAGCTGCACGCTTTCCGATGATTACAGAATGTCCTGGCAATTAGAAGTTCGCTGTGACTCTGCTCGGTTGATGAAGAGATGTACGAGTATCTGACGGGTTCTAATCATTCCAACCATTGCGCGAATTGGACGTTACAAACCCTAAACTCCATAAACCGAGCCCGCAAGCTAGAATCAGAATATCCGACTGAACTCGCAACTCTCAACGCTAACTGGCACGTAGCAAGCAAAGTTATCAGTATCCTGACTGGGGATAGAAGTCACTGCAACTGTGGTCACCTTGTCTTACAACCCTGGTTATTGAGTCCATGGTAGCGCTAGGAAGCGCTCGGATAGCGCCCTGGCAATGGCAGCCTTGCGTGGAAAGTCGATATGCAACTCTACCAGTGAATCTTCAATCCTCGCGATGCCGTGCTCGCCTGACCATGCTCCATTAGCTACGCAAGCCGTGGCCGAATTCGGAGCATCGGATGACAATCACCTTATTTTGGCTTAGGGGTCGGGGTTCAAGGGTTCAGGGCTGCAGCTACAGCCACAACCAACAAGGAGCCTACTGTAGGTTATACATAAGCTCGTCGTAGGAACTGCTACACCAGGAACTCGTAGTGCTCCTGCGCCAACACTTGAAACTGCTGAACCCCACTCTTAGCCCCACATCCGACTACTCTGTATGACATGGGTTTTTAGGGTTCAGGGTTTAGGGTTTAGGGTGCCTTTGTTCTTGTCGCGCCATCAAAACAAACACCCCTAACTATACACAGACCGATTGCCAACATCCTGAGGAAGCCCTACCCTAAGGATCCAAGTACCTAACAAACATATACTCTCCCACATCTCCCAAATATTGACCTACATACTTACTAGCCTAAACCCAAGTACCTAGTTCTTGGGTCCATTGGACCCTGACTTGAAGCTATATAGACACCCTAAACCCTAGACCCTAAACCCGAACTCACCAAGTTTTCATTGTGTACCTCTTCACGGCAGGCTACGAGTTATGAGGCCCGTCCTGTGTTCAGAGTCCCGAAACACCAACATCTAAAGCGCTACACCCCTAAAGTCCTAAGGGTTTAGAGTTTAGGGTTAAGTTATACCTGGAATCCCAAAGTATGCGCTGTGATAGCCTTTTGCAGGTTTAGGGCCATTATTTTAGGGTTAAGGGGTCAGGGGTTGAGGGTTTAGGGTTTCGTATCTTACAGCTTTTAGATACTCTTTCATTTCGGGTCCCGTATTAAGTGTCCCTAGAGCAGATTAAGGTGGTGCCTGCATTACGAGATACCGGAGCCCCCGCGAACCGTTAGCCCGTTAGTCGAGTCAGGTGTTGATGGCTACCTGCACCCCGAAAGTGTGTAGAATAATGGCCTCCCTAAACCCTAAACCCTAAACAGTTCGAGTTTTGGACCATTATTGTACCTACTTTGGGAGGGGGGGTTAGGACTGCTGAGAGACAGACTTTTGCCATCAGATTGTCGTCCCGAGCATGTGAAGACCCCAAAGTCCGTGCAGACTCGAACACAGAGTGCTGCCAGTTTCTCTGACCAATCCCCTTAAGTGTAGGTTTTCACGTCAAACCCTAGCCACCCTAAACCCTAAA